GTTTATATATCTTTCTTTTCCCCTCTCTGAATTTCCTTTTTTCCTTTTTGAAAATGTTGCTTTTTCTTTTAAAAATTAGGATAATTACAGTACAAAATATCCATTAATATTGCAATTTTACAAGGTTGCCCTGGTTATATGAATCTGTCTCCTGTTTACTTGTGTCTGCCCACCTCCCAGCATTTCAATAACAGCTGTGGGGGGTCCCCTGTTAACTTGGCCCAAGCCTCCCACCCTTGGTAGTGGCAGCCATGGTACCATTCTAAGTGCGGGAGAACAATGAGCCTAGGGAACTAGCTACAACGTTCATGAGCACTCCCATGCTTTGCCTGCCCCTCCCCCAAATATAACTGTCCAACTACACCTCTGAGGTTAGGTCAGAATTGTTGACCCCCTGAGCAATGTAGCTGGGTCAACCTAGCTTGTTAGGGTAGAGCTGGCCTTTGGTTTTGATTCCTAACCTTAGCATTACAGTACTACAAGATTTTGTAGTGTAACAACAACAGTATCTCTGCTTCCTCTCTCTTTGTGAATTCTAGAAATGCTAAAGTGGCATTCTAAGCCCCATCCATGGAAAAAATTAGCCCCGTTCTGTCTCTAACGCAATTTGTGTCACTTGGATTCTTTAACAAGTGTGGACCTGTAATGCCTCTCAAGAGAAAATCAACCTTTTAGTATAGCCACTTAACTGTAAATAGCAAGATACGATTCTGACTTCTTGTGAGTCTATTGCCATTTGTAAACCACTTGATTGTGCTTTCTTTTTTTAATAATGTAAGAATGGCCATACTGGGTCAGACCAAAGGTTTGTCTAGCCCAGTATCTGGGCTTCTGACAGTGCCAGTTGTCCCAGAGAGAATGAACAGAACAAGTAACCATCAAGTGATCAATTCCCTGTAACTTGTTCCCAGCTTTTAGCAAACAGCAGCTAGAGACACCCTTGCTGCCCATCATGGCTAATAGCCATTGATGGACCAATCATCCATGGATTTATCAAAGAATTGTTTTGAACCGTGTTAAAGTCTTGGCCTTCACAATATTCTCTGGCAAGGAGTTCCACAGGTTGACTGTGTGCTGTGTGAAGAAGTACTTCCTATTTTTTTGTTTTAAATTTGCTACCTATTTATTTCATTTACTGACTCCTAGTTCTTATGTTATGAGAAGGAGTAAACAGCACTTCCTTATCTACTTTCTCTCCACCAGTCATAATTTTATAGACATCAATCTTATCCCCCCGTAGGGTATGTGAACACTAGGAAATTATTTTGAAATAACTAAATTTGAAATAACTCCCGAAATAACCAGTGCGTTATTTTGAAATAACAGGATTGGTAGTGTGGATGCTCTGTTTATTATTTCAAAACTAGCCAATTAGCCCGTCATAAGACGGGATTTTCAGGTCTTCTCTCCTGAGCTCTCTTGCCCCGTCTCTCTCTCTCTCTCTCCTCCTACTGCCTCCCGGTCCCCAGCTCTCCTCCGCCTCCTGCCTCTCTCTCCGTCTTTCTTTCTCTTCTTCCCCTCCTGCCTCTCACTCTCTCTTTCTCTTCTCCTCCTCCTCCTGTATGAGGAGTGCGGAGCCCAAACAGCTGTTTGTGCCACTTCCTCCCAAATGGCAGCCTGGCTGAGCGGCTGTCTATGAGCTCCAGCTGCCCCCCTGCACCATTTCCCTTCACCGCAGCACTGATCCTGCATCCTCCCTGTTGTCCTTCCCCTCGTTC